CCCCTCAATTGGTATCATGATCGAATGCTCAACTCATCAACTAGGTTTCACTGCCAAATACTGGAAGTAGTGTTAATTTAACTGTGCAATCGTTCATCAACCAGCTTGAGCAGAAAGCATTTTCGCCAAAAAAGTTTATTGTCGTACGGCAGCAATTGGATTCCTACGAAGCTGAATTTGCCCAATACATGTGCCATGATAAGAATTCTTTCGGGAAGGACTATGGAGATTTTCTATGTCAACTTCACTCGCAGATACAAACCCTGCTTTCGTAAGGAGTTTTGGGATTTATTCAACATTAAAAACTACAAACACAAATTTTCAATGTCAATTTCATTGGTATCTGCGTTATATGACAAGTAGGTGGAGGTCGACGAAAATGACCCGCAATTTGCAAAGTTTGTGCCATCAATGCTGTGAACACAAGAGGGTAATAGAGTATCGCTGATGATTACCTAAAGCATAAAATAAGAGCAAACGCAACACATACTGCATCGACTTCGGGACAAAGTGATAATGCTGAGTGTCTGTTGTAAAAGCTGGGCTGGATATTATCAGGAAAATGGCACAGAATAGACTGTCTTGAGATGGAATGAAATATACTTTTTAAAAACTCGGGATCGGTCGAAGGGAGAGGAAAAAGCGAATTTTTAACATAACATGCCGAGTACAGCAAAGAAAACAAAAGCAATTGCCTTTTCAGGGAAATTCTCACTCTACCATCATTAGCAATTCCCTGGTACCGCGTTGGATTGCTCGAAAATATGGCATTTTCAAAGGAGAGCCTCTTTTGTAATTCGGCTGGAAATTCTTGCGGAATAAATAGAGAAGAATTAACCGATTCGTTTTTCGGCAAAGTACCGCTAAGAAACAGAAATTTAATGCTTTCTCCAATCTGCTTTACAAGCGCTACAAACTCGATAAAAGTATCTGGAAATAAAAGAGCCAGGGTACCATTGTAGAGCGGGATGCCTTTCCTAAAAAAAGGCCCAATAAGTGCGATTAATATGGGCGAATGGCCAGTATTTTCGAGAAGCATTTTCAGCAGCCTTGAAAAAGCAGGAATTGTCTATTCTTATAAAACATACTAATTACGGCCGGGTCGTTAAACCAAACATCTGAAAAAATGTAAACGCGTTCACCATTTGGAGCTTTTTGGCTTCTTGGCGCGTACGCAAAAAATTCTGCATTTTTCCATGGATTGGCGAGAGATAAAGAGGGTCTTTGGTTAAAAAAGCAATCGAACATTTTCGAGTATTGCAAACCTTCCGGCTGATCGATTTCCTCAACTATTAAAGAGGTACCGGATAGTTGTCCGGATAAAAGAACTATCGATCCCTGTGTAAATATTCCATTTATGTTCTAAGCAATGACGAGATTATGTTACCTACAGTTAGTTCCGTAATTTTCAATTCAAGAGTAGAGTCCAAATCTTCTAGTATCAATTGTCCTTTGTTTCCAATCTGCAAAATACCCATAATTTTGATCTTTTTCGTTGAATTTCTGTCAACGCCAAATAGGGAATTAATGGAAAGCACCTACATCCCGTAAATATTTCATGAGTACCAAGTTCTTGTTTAGCACGTTTGCGCAATTATGTTGAATGAATGAAAATCTGGAGGCAAGGACATCTATCTTATCTTCAGCAGAGTGTAACAATGGCTTGGGCTTTTCATTACTATCATCAAAAATATCATCTTACTATATAAATTTGGATGCTTTCGAGTCCCATAGCATTGACGTGGTCTTTTCAGAAGAAAGGATTTCGATCGAAGGCGTTGTGTTGCCAGCAAGTGATGATTCTTCCGTGGCTCTTTGGATGCTCAATAATTGATGCTTCGATTTTATCAAAGACATAAATTCTTGCGCCAACAAATCCGAAAGAAGAGTCACTAGGAAAATTACAAGTAGATAGGAACCATTTTCGCCTCTACATATTTCAGTCATCTCATTAAGGTAATTCAAAAGCTCCTCCTCTGAGGATATATTATAGTGCAACAAAAGGCTCAATGCCTGAGGTGTGACGGAGATCCCATTATTCTTTGTCAAAACCCGCCAAATGGTTTTTCTTTTTACAGGAGCGCTCAATTCCATTGGCGTTTAAAAACTAATTAATTTAACGGCAAATATTCCTAATTCCGGACTGCTGGTAAACCTGTACCCTTTGCGCCGATTTCAATCCTATCAAAAAACATGCTCGTTAAAGAAACAGCTGATGACACATAGAGTCCTTTCTGCTAAATGGAGACATCATCTCTCAGATAGGGTCATAATATAGCCTTTATTGAGGGTTCGTTAAATATTTACCATAAATACTTATCAACTGTTGGTGATTTCCGTAAATAATGGCTTTAAGGCTGTTGATTTGGAATTTCATCAAAAAATCTTCATAATTGAGACTCCAAGCCGATGCTTAGATAAGGAAGGGCTTATTGGTTTCCTCCCAAAGAGTGTGTAACTGTCCAACTTGCTCAGTTGACAGGGAATTAATTTGAGAGTGTGTAAGAGTTTTTCCGAGCCTTTCAAGCGTCTCTGTTTTTATCAGCGACATTATTTAAATTTACCTTTACCCTTTTTGCTAGCTTCTACGTGTTCTTTGTATGTTTTCCATTCGTGTATAAAATCCGTGAGTAAACCGGGATCAGTGACGCTTTTGTGATTTCTAAATTCCTGTCTGCAATATCGATCTCCCAGAATCTTGAACTCCATAGGAAGCGATCTGTGAAGCCGAAGTATTGACTTGTACAGGCCCAATACTTCAGCTCTGTTCATTTTGAAATAAATTTTATTTTATGTCAATTTCTAGTTTGCATAGGCGCTCCCTTGGGCGTTTTTCGTCGAAAGCGCTTTTCCAAATCTCATTAATAATTCAAAGGTCTCCAATCATCCAAATAGAAAAAACAGCATTTGAAAAGGCTTATCAAAAATACTTTTACGAAGTAGAAAAAGAACTCTCTCGTGGTCCCTTTAAACTTTCGCTGGGACTGCTTTCCGAGGCAGATTCGAAGACTGCCTCCACACTCCAATCGAATGAGCCTGGCCAGCTTTCTTTGGAAGATGCTGATAATGCTGCCACGAGCTTGATCGAGCAAGCAAACTCGCTCCCCATAACGGACCCCAATAGAAATCCAAGCGAGAAGCTTTTTTTGGTTATTAAAAGGCCCCTTTTCGAGTTTTGGGAATTCCCTACAATTGAATATGTTGATGGTTCATTTGAAACTCCCTTGCACAAGGTATTCGTCGGCCTTTTACTTGTACTTAGGTGGCAACAGACCATGCAAAGACCCTTTTTAGCGGTGCAGAGCCAAATTTTTATGTGCCTGGCAATGCTCCATTTGATTTCCAACAGACCGCCAATAAGGTATTTCGAATTCCTTTATTTAGACGTTCTACTTTCGAATTGAAACTCTGCTGCCATTTCCTCCCATAACTGTGGGATCAGATTATATTGCCTATGCATGGCTCTCAAAAAGGGAATTGCAAAATTTGTTATCAAAAGAAATACCTTTGGGAAATGTTCTTTCTTGTCTAGTAGATTAGTATAACTTATTATAAATATTTGTTAAAAGCCGAACAAAGAATCACTTTTATTTGCATGTACAATTATGGGGGACATCTTCTTGTCAAAGCCATCACATCTAGCATGTGGGCTTTAATGGAAAATGGATTCTTCCCATTTTTCATATGAAGTGAGTGGGTACACTCAAGCTTGTTCTTTAAATGCTCATGTATTACAGCAAGATTTGGCACATACGCTTTAACATTCTGGTCCAGGTCCGCTATTAGTTTTCGAAAGATGAAAAGCTCAACTTCAGACATGTTTAAATCCTTCAAAGACTCAATTTCATGATCATCCGAGAACAGCTTGGCAAGAATGGAATACAAATTAGACGACAGGTTTCCACTGGGCAAGTTTCGTATGGATTCGTTGTACGATTCCAGATTAAGTAGGTAGTTGATACATTTTTGCTCGTTACTCAAGTGAGATGAAGATTCCGTGGAAAAAAATGAGCAGAATGTTTCTAAATTTTGCTTTCGAAGTACCATAATTGAAAATTTTATCACGTCGGTCGGAGGAAACAAATTCCAAAATAAATTTAAAATTTATGGTCAAAGAGCAAGCAAATAGTTCTTCGCTACCCCCTGATGTGGCGTCAGCAAAGCCCGAGCCGCCTTCAAATATTATCAATGACATCAAAAGGCTTTGGGAGTGTAAGATTTATATGCCAATTTCTAGTGAAGCAAGCGGACCTGAAACATCAGTGTGAAATTTTACTTGATCATCAAACCCAATATGTCAAGCTAATCGACGAACGTCGACGAGCAGAAGATGAAATGATGGAACGAATTTACATTAAAGAAATAAGTGAAATTAACAGGGAGTATGAGGTACGCTGCTTTTTATTTAAAATCATCAAAGGGGGTTAAGAACCAAGTAAAGGCCAAGATTCTAACTGACCTGCAACAGAAGCGAAAAAAGTGGCACTGGATAGAAAGCGATGTCTCTGATTCTTGCGAGTTACCAAAACTCTCATCTGTTTCCCAAATTGCCCCACTGAGGCCGTTGAGAAAGCTCCGAAAAAGGGGAAACTCTTTGCCAAAAGTGGATCCTTCTTCAGAAGATAATATTGCCAGCATCCTGCTCAATGGAAAAGGAGCGGGAAGGCAAACTGTTGCCCTTCCCTCGACATATCAAGCGCTAAAAGACCATGAAATTGAGGCTGACATTAAGCTGCTGTTCTCCTCAATAGAAACCTAACCACTGTTGTAAACTTATTGATGTAAACATTAAAAGAAAATTTCAAAATAATTTTTGCCATTGGTAATTTCCAAGGGTGACGACAAAATCTGCATTTGAACTTTTATTTTTAATTGGTTGCATTATCAGTTATGCTCGGCAGCAAAACGTGATTGGCGTTCTTTGTTATTATCCAATACAAATCAAGTTCAAGTTATTTTTTCTGTTAAATATCGCCGGATTTTGCCAACCTTTCCTTCCTTTATGAATCTATTCGAATACATAGGTGCGTGGGCGGACCAAAAGCGGATTGAGAGGGAAATTGGGCTACTGGGTTCAAACCGTCTTTTATCTTTGGACCCACACCCATTGTGCAACAGGAATAGACTTGACCAAGTCACCCTGTATCCCTCAAGAAAATTATCGCTTCCCCCTACGCTCTCAAATCCTAGCCAGATCATTCTTTGCTCCGCCCTGACAAAGAAGTATGAATCAGCAGGAGAAGCTATCTTGTTCTCGAACGATAGTTCTCGATTTGAAGAGGCTTTTTTGCTGCTCAAGCAAGCATGTATCCAAGGCATTTCAATGAATGCCATTTCTGCTCTTGGCTTTTGCTATGAGTTTGGGCTTGGGACCTGCACCAACTATTCGTTGGCCGAGTCTGCCTATGTTCTCGCTGCAGAAAAAGGAAACGTTCCGCTGGCTCAGTCGAGGATGTCTTTTTTGCGAAAGTATGGCCGACCAGGCCTTCCGATTGATAAAAATGAAGCCGAGCACTGGGCCGATACTTTGGCTGCCCATGGCTCAGTAGGAGCTCTCTCCTGGCTAAACAGGGCTGCCCAAAATGATCTAGGGGCCGCTTTGTACTGTCTTGGCGTATGTTATCACGATGGTCTTGGGTGTGCGAAGGATGAAATCAAGGCTTTCGCCCTTTACAAGCGAGCGGCCGATCAAGGTCTTTCAAGAGCTTTTGGCATTCTCGGATATTGCTTTGGCGAGGGATTTGGGGTTGAAAAAGACTTTTCACAATCAATTTTTTATTATCAGAAGGCAGTTGAGGATGTCTCTTCGCCAATCGATACCGTTGCCCTCTTCAATTTAGGCTGCTGCTACGAAGATGGCTCAAAGGGAGTTCCACAAGATTTTGAAAAGGCAGTTTATTACTACAAATTAGCTGCAGATGCCGGCAATGCTTATGCGCAATCTGCTCTTGGTTACTTTTATGAATATGGTATTGGCGGCCTCCCCGTCAATACCCAGCAAGCCGTTTCTCTTTATCGTCTAGCTGCAGAGCAAGGATACCCTTGGGCACAATCTAACCTTGGGTACTGCTATCAACAAGGAATCGGTCTTCCCAAGGATGCTAGTCTTGCCGTTTGGTGGTATGCCAAAGCAGCTACTCAGGGACATCCCCGGGCTTTGCACAATCTCGGACATTGTTATCAATCAGGTGAAGGAGTCCCGCGTGACCTAGAGAAGGCGTTCCTGCTATTTGAGAAATCTGCTGCACAGGGCCATCTCTTTGCCTTCCATTCGCTTGGGCATTGCTACCAAAACGGATTCGGCGTTCTTGTTAATCCCAGCGAAGCATACTCTTGGTATCTCAAGGCCTCCGAGTGCGGTCACGGACCAGCCCAACTATCTCTTGCTTACTGCTACAAGAATGGTATCGGGTGTGAAAAAAATTTACAAAAATGTTTGCATTGGTTTGAGCGGGCTGCACAAAATGGCGTTGCATTGGCCCAAAACATTATGGGAAGTCTATGTGAGCTAGGGCTTCACGAAACCTTTATTCCAAAAGACGCCAGAGCTGCTGTGGAATGGTATCAAAAGGCCGCTGCCCAGGACCTTTCCTATGCCATCTGTAATTTGGGATATTGCTATGAAAGAGGAAACGGTATTGAACAGTGTTATCGCACGGCTTTTAAGCTATACGAATCTGCTGCGTTCAAAGGACACTCCCGTGCCATGGATCGCCTGGGCCTTTTTTACTTGGAGGGCAGAGGAACGGCCTCCGATTCTGAACTGGCAACACTGTGGTTTAAACGCTCCGCCCAAGCCGGATATGCTCTTGGAATGCTCCATTATGGTGAGGCTTTAGAAGAAGGCTCTGGCGTAAGCCAATCCACTTCGGAGGCTCTTCAATGGTATCAACTTGCTGCGTCAAAGGGAAGAAAAGAAGCCCTTGATAAATTGAGGATTTTATTACTAAAGCTATCAAGGGAAGATTCGGGCGATATTATTTTGTATGGACATATTGCCTGTGCTGCTTAGCCTAGAAATTGTACTATTTATTAAACCTATTCCAATTCAAGTACAAAATGGTTTCAAAAAAATAGAACCTACAGCACGCAGTATTCCCATGCGGTCACCCATCATAGTACTGACTGCGCCAGCACTGGCTTGACTTCGGGGATCGGACGAGACCCGGTGTTTTCCAGTGTGTATGGCCGTAGATATTGGGCTGACAAAATAATTTAATATAAATATATTTAACTTAATCTAACAATCTCTTTCGTGACTTCCTACCTCATATATGCACCTATTCTATATGAGCGTCGGCGAAATTAATATGCCTCTTAGTTGATACCTTATTCTGATGTATTAAATTGAATTTTGGATGTTTTAAATTATTTAATGATTGCATTAGGCATCGAGGGCTCAGCTAACAAAGTTGGTGTTGGCATTTATAGATCTTCCGATAAGGCAGTTCTTTCAAATATACGGAAAACATTTATAGCTCCGATTGGTGAAGGATTTCTACCAAAAGAAACCGCCGCTCATCATCGAGCTAATATATTGGGGTTGATCAGGAATGCTCTCTGTGAATCAAACTTGTCTCCTAAAGATCTTGACTGCATTTGCTTTACCCAAGGTATTGCACAACATTAATCATTCAAAGGACCCGGGCTTGGCGCGCCACTTCATAGTATGGCCGTTGTGGCAAGAATCCTTGCTTTGTTATGGAAAAAACCGCTAGTTCCTGTGAATCATTGTATTGGCCGTAAGATATGTTTTCGATTTACCATCACAGATATCGAAATGGGAAGATCTATTACCGGAGCAAAGGATCCTGTGATCTTATATGTCAGTGGCGGCAATACGCAAGTCATTGCATATTCAAACAAAAGGTTTCCATTTGCTAATGTATTTCTTGCAGATATATGATTCTGGGGGAAACCGTTGATATAGCTGTTGGTAATTGCTTGGACCGTTTCGCACGCACCGTTAAGATATCTAATGACCCTAGTCCTGGCTATAATATTGAAATTGCCGCAAGGTATTTTATAAATCTTTATTCCTCCAGGAAAGGAAAGCATCTCCTTCCACTTCCATATTCCGTTAAGGGAATGGATGTATCTTTTTCTGGGATTCTTTCCGCAATTGAGAAAGCTTATTCATCCGGGAAGCATCCCACGTATTCTATTGAGGATTATTGTTTTTCGCTGCAGGAGACAATATTTTCGATGCTAGTAGAAGTGACGGAGAGAGCACTGTCTCATGTCGCCTCTGACGAGGTTTTGATTGTCGGTGGTGTTGGATGTATTTAAAGTAGCCGGTCTATTTTTAGGCAATTTGCGCTTACAAGAAATGATGGCTGGCATGGTTGCCGAAAGGGGAAGCACACTTTACGCCATCGATGAGAGATATTGTATTGATAATGGAGCCATGATAGCATGCGCTGGGGCTCTTTCGCATCAAACTGGGCCGGGAATACTAGCTATCGAGGATACCGCAGTGACTCAACGGTAATTTTTTATTTTTATCAAGAAAGATTTCGGACTGATGATGTGTATGTTACGTGGAGGGCGTAGCGTTCTTCTCCATTCGACGCTTGTGAATTTCCATGACGTCTGTGCGGCCCATACAGACCCAACCATCCTTTTTGACGACATATACTAATAAAAATAACCTTTTTCTAATAAGCAAACCTAAAACAGTGCCACCAGAATAGGCGTCCCTATGGGTGGCATGGTAAATAGCCCGCTGCCCCAAGTCAACGGCCTCATCGATGGAAAGATCATACCGATATTCTGAATCTAATATTCCGTAAGCAAATGTAGAGCCAGAGCCAACAGAGAAAAGATTGCCCTCTAAACGTGTGCCATCTGAATCGACATAGAAAAGACCAGGGCCTTTTTTGTCCCATCCAGCGACCATAGTTCCCTATGATGATTTACACGAAACTTACCATGGAAAGCCCCATTCCACGATACTGCAAAACCATATTTGCGAGGGTCTTTGAAGCTGCAGCTACCGAGATTCGCTCCTTGTTCTTTAGCTCATAAAGACGGCAATGAACACCAAGGACCCGCTCCCAATATGAACAATCCGCAGCACCGCCGGCCATTGTTCCAAGGAGAAATGGATTTATCTCAATAACCTTCTTGACAGTTTGAGAAGCTACGAGAATTGAATGTTCATTTGGTACCAATATAAGAACCAGAGGTTGCTCTTGAATCAACGGCAATTAGAACTCCATGCGCAAATTTAAACCCAAGCGTCGTCGTACCATGGTTAAGCGATAGAGGTGCACATGGGGCCTGGCCATCTTGGGCAGTATCGCCCTTTGGCTTTCGATGTTGATGGCTGGGGGTAGAAATGATATGTTTATGAATGAACTCAATCGCCTATTTCTATAAATCTCATAGGAATACATTGCAATTGGGCGCAGTAATAAAATTCCCATCATGGCGAAAAGTCGAATCTACAAGGACAGCTGATGGTTGGGGCATTGCGACGGAAAGTTTTTAAATTTCTTTTAAATTTGTAAATTTAAAAACAATGTTTATTTAATTTTACAAAAGAAATGTTCAATTACGGAGTTAATCGAAAAATTGACAAATCAAAAACTGCTTACCAAATCAGCCAATAAATCTATTGGATATAGTCCATTGATGGAAGATCCCGTGCCCTAGATTACTGTTAGCACTTGATTTACAAATATTATTGATAATTAACTCGAAATTCTGTTGATAGTTCTATAAATGTCTACCATCTCAACACAGGCTATTGATGTAAGTTGATTGATTTATAACTCTCTGTTAGCCCTCTTCTGAGGTTATGGATGGGTGTGATCAGTCGCGAGGGTTAAACTCGCTTACGAATTCAAATATATCTCTCTACTATTATAATCAGACTGGAGACTTGCTGCGTGACTATGCGCTTGCAAGTTATCCCACCAAAAGTGCCAAAGAGAACCATGCTCAACAAGCATTGTCCCAATTTGGCTCTTTGCCAGGTGCTCGACATCCACCATCTTCGTACGACCCAGACGATGGCGTGCTAGCAGAGGCACTTTTATCGTTCTCGAGCGCAGTTCTAGCTCCCGTGACAGACAAAAATGACGAAGTGCGTGTCAAAAGGCATAAATCAGCCTCTGAGTCTTTCTCTCCGGACAGGAGCGACGATGCCTCGTCTTCTGACCAATACTGCCTTCTTGTGTCGATGAATTGGTGCTTCCCCATATATAACAAACGCTTTATCGTTGGTCGCGGTAATGTGAAGACATCCATGCACCGCTCAACTCCGGAATCTTCCTCCTCCTTTTCCTCTTCTTCAGATCCGGATAATGCACAGGAGGAATATATGGAAAAAGCTATTACAGATCGAAGTAGCTCAAAGGCCGAAATCAATCGGCATCATGAAGACACAAATAAGAGTCACTGCAACTCACGCACAAACCAAAGCCGATCTAGTGCAGTCGACTCTGAAAATACATCCTTAAAAGAAGGTAGTTCGATCGATGTATGCAGAAATAATGACCTTCTTGTCAAAGTTGGGATTTCAAAATTGATTTCTCGAAATCATCTCAAGTTTGCATACAATTCAATAGTCGGTGTGTGGGAACTTGTTATCCTTGGAAAAAATGGAGCCACTATTGACGGTACCAATCACAGGCCCACGCCTAATACGATCGACTCCACGGGCCGTAATAGCGTAAAACTTGGTGTCAAGTAAGAAGTGGAAATCGGATTTTAACCTTTAGTTTGATTCAATTATCAGGTGTATCTTTCATTTTTGTTTCCGATCCATGCAAGTTCATATGGTCGATGATGTTTCGGTCAAAGAATCTTTTTTTGCAAGGCCAAACAAACGAAAATTCTTTCACACAACCTGTGATTTCCTTTAATTCGAAAAAAGGAGCCCCCCTCCCATCGATTCCATATTCATATCCCTGTGTAGATTTCCAACAATATCCTATCTCGCAAGGTAATCTCCCGAATGGGATGAGTCCGAGGCGAACAGCCATACCTAACGATTACCAGGCTCGCCCACTGCAACCAGCATTTCAACAATCCTCGGCAAAGATCAAGCCACCGATATCGTACTCTTTTCTGATTGCAGAAGCTATTTATAATGCACCCAACAAACGATCTACCCTCTCTGGAATTTATAACTATGTTTTGGAAAAATATCCATACTATAGGACTGCTCGGCCCGGTTGGCAAAACTCAATACGACATAACTTATCTCTTAACAAAGCCTTTATCAAGCTTCCACGCACAGGCGGAGAGCCTGGAAAGGGGATGTTTTGGGCTGTAGACGGGGCTTATATGCATCTTTTCCCCAATATTGCCCCTTTAGATACGAAGCCCATGGTGACAGATGGTTTCCTGTCACAAAATGTTTCCTATTCTTCAAATTCGGCCTCACCGTTTTCATCTCCTACCCAAAATAGCACAGAATATGAATCTTGTCCTTCTTCTTCGCCCTCCACGTCGTTTTCACATGTTGAAGAATTCGAGAGCAAATTTTCACGTAACTCGCCTCCACCTTTTTCTTACATTGCTTCAAAGTTCCGGGATCAAGAATTCTCGTCCTTTAGCACGGCCCTTTCAATTCCAAATGTATTCCCTTCAACTGAGAGGAAAAAAATATCTCTTCGGAAAGATAGCAGCTCCAGTGCAGTCAATTTAATACCTGATACAACTGACAGGAGAAGGAGGAGGGATAAATCTATTGATAGGCAATTTTCGTTGAAGAGCCTTTTGAATTGATGCTGTAAAATCTTGAATTATTGTTAAATTTCACTATAAATAAATAATTAACCCTAAATATTTGATAACAAAGCGCATAGAAGAGCAGACAATTATAGACGACCCTTTGTGTAACAATTGGTCACAAGTAGCATATAAATTGTAAATAAATTCGGAATTAAATTCAATCCCAAATCTATTTTACTATCACAATGCAACGGCTATTTGGCAGTGGCAGAAAGAAGGTCTCGATAGAAGAAACTACCAGGGCACTTGACAGCACTATCGAAAATGTACTTTATCTTTTTCATGTTAACGTCAGCTAGATGGCCGATCAAATTCGATTAGGGCCAAAATTGCACAGATTGAGCAAGACCTACACAAGCAAGTAAAAGCAATAGACTCATTTGCCTCTGCCACAGCAAGGAACAGGGCACTTCAACTTTTAAAGCAGAAAAAGATATACGAAGAGCAACTTGTCAATATTGAGGAACGCCAAATAGGTATGGAGCAAACGCGCCTCGGGTTAATAAGTATGCGTTGTATTTGTTATTTCTAGACGCGGAGAGTTCCCTTGCCGTTGTGTCTACAATGAAACTAGCATCTAAAGATTTGAAAAGACAATTGGAAGAAATCGACAGCACCAAACTAGCAGTATCACAAGTCCCTAATCAGTAGAGAGATATGGATGATCTTCAGAGTTTGTTGGAAGATTCGAATGAAATGTATTCCGTGATATCCTCAGGCCATGAGATATCCAATGTTGTTGACGATGATGCTTTGGAGGAGGGTATCTTTATTTTTGTACCCTTAGAATTGCAATCTTTACAAAAATCGCAACATATATCCACGGCGACAACGTATCTCGATTCGCTTGGTGCGCGTAAAAGCGAGGCCGTCTCTGGGTTTGAAAACAGCATCGCCAGGCCATAGAAGAGGAGCCCCGCCATTTTTGCAGAAACCAAGGGCCTTCGTTTTACGCAACTTAATACACCGTTTATTGTAGCCCTAGTTTCGTGTATTAAAATTTTATCAAATGACCTAAACTTGGGAGTTGGCATAGGTTTCGTACTAGCTTTAATGGAAACAACTACATCAAAAGTAGTCCCTCCGACTGGCAGGATGAGGCAAAGGCTCATATCTACGTGGGTAAGAGGGTTTATCATAATCCCTATACGAGGATTGACGCAAAGGTGGATTTTCGGGGTAAGAGTAATGAAATGTTTTTGGCGATCTAGAACGTTTTCGCTCGTTTCCCTCATATACAGGTCTACGATAAGAAGGCTGGCGAGGGGAAAGAGATCTTGGGGGAGGAGATCTCGAAGATTTTCTATCAGATCCTCGCAAGGAAGGGTCCCTTCCTGACACTTTGTTGCAAATTTCCGCTGGGCCCTTTCGACTGCCACCCAAACCACCACCAAGCCTACGAGGGAGCCATCCACGGACTGTCCGCCCCCTTTCTACATCCACCACGCATCGACGCTGGCCATCAATTTTCCTTCCATCCGCCTCAAAATATGCAATTTTAGCACTCTTCTCTCGCTCAAACTCGATGAACGCATAACCACGCGGAGTAGGCGCAGTTCCTGGCTTTTCAACAACAACAACAGACTTAATAACGCCATAAACCTCGAATTCTCGTCGCAATTGGCGCTCTGTGACGGAATAAGGGAGTCTCCCAACAAAGATAGTCTTGAAAGGATCGCTCTTGAAGGATGGCTTGCAAGTTGAATATTCTTTAACTTGCTCGGCTAGCTTTTCCTCTTGTAGTTGTTTTCGCTGCAATTTCTAAATAAAGTAAAAGATAAAAAATACCGTCAAACTTTTCTCGGCCTCATCCTTGTGATCAGAAGTAGAATTTGCAGAGGAGGCATAGAGATCTTGAATGTGTTTAAGAAAAGAGCCAACGCCAGAATGTCTGCAACCAACCCTTTCATCAGGAGCCCTATCTATTGGCTTTTTATAAGCAGGGAAAGGTCGAGGTATAAAAAATCTATTCAGTGGAGGCTGGATAAATGCGCTAAGCTTGGGAGTATTTGCGGAACTTAGACCACCTCTTGAATAATCCATGGAATCTTAATTTTAAAATTAAAATTACAGCCTGTCGTTTATTTAAAATTTAAATTACATTGAAAGGGAGCTCCACCATCTTTGATCTCTCTTGTAGCGACACAGCTCCGACTTGATGGAGGAGAGATGATGCGAAGGGAGCTGTGCTACCAAATTTAAATAAGTATTGAGACCTAGAAAATATGATTACCACCTTACTTTCGCGCCCCGGATTTTTTATACATGAAATTAGTGTGGCAAATATATGTTTTTCCGGCAATTTTCTTCTCTTTTTTTTAATAGAAGACGTGTTGCTAAGTTTTGAGATACTCTTGTATGGATTGTCAAATATGAAATAAGATTCCATGGCCTCCGTATCAGGGGTCTCGGGAATATAATATGGATTTCTAAGCCTTGGTGTTGATTTCATTTCATTTTCATATAACCCCATTTTCTGGATATTCATATGTTTTCGCTGACGATCTACAAAATTTGATGGCATATGTTACCTTGCAGTATTTCATCAATTGGGAGTCTTTGACCTTTGTCAATAGACTCCGCTATGATATCAGCAAAAATGCTCGTTGCGCTCTGAAGGAAGCTAGAAGGTACTTCAAGAAGGTCACTAAGGGACTCGTTTTCCTTTAGTATTCCAGTTTTTAAGGATCTAAATATGGACAAATCTGGTGGTAGACATAGCCTTTCGGTGTCCGAAAGAAGAGTTCTGGTCTGTTTATATTGCGAGTTTACTTGTAGTAACTCTTTGGTTGCCTTTTCTTTGGCGATAGTTGCGTCTGAATTGGTACTTTTAGGATTTATCGCTGCTGGCCGATATTTTTGAATAAACTCTGCCAGACCCATTCCAGTGAAAGTCATAACAAGAGGATAATGGAGATATGGCGGTAATTTGGTCTCAAAAAAGTCGCAGATTCTTGCCTCCGTTTGAATCTTGTTGTGTGTCTCCTTGGACTCTATTATCAGGGAAATTACATCAAATAGATATAGGGGATAAATAGAGGCACTCCAAGCCCCACGAAACCTTAGAACGCCAAAAGGAATTTCATCATATTTCTTCCTTCGCTTAACCCGATAAAAAATCAGATAATTGGAGCTAACATCAAGCTTTAAAAGGCTATTTGGATCTGCCTCCATAAAATAATTGTCACACGGAAATTCAGGCAGCAGGATGGGATCTTCAGACACAGGTCGAAGGGAGTATGATGGAATTTCACTTCTCTATCAAATAAAAATTGATTGGAGATACCTTTTTGGTATCTTTGGCATAATCTTCTGGAAAGGGCCACCTAGATTCTTTATCACTCTGCGTAATAAAGCGCACAGTTATCGAATGATATTTAGTTTCCGTGGCGGATGCAGTGGCATCGGCCATCCTTAGCCCCACCAAAATGCCCTTAGAAAGCATGTGTTTAGAAGAAGAAGAGAGACCAAATATCTGCTCCACATTAGACAGCACGTCTTTGACAGAACAACAATCATTGAAGATGATGGGCAGCAATTTCGATAGGTGTCCAGTGTTTGCTATTTTCTCCTTTCCAAAATTAAATATAACCAGCCTTTGATCCCACCTACAAGGTCCGTCATAGGGAAGCAACTGACTCGATGCGCTTGTTGGAATCGACCTGGTGATAAGCTGAGTATTTAGTGCTGCAAACGAGTTTGCATGCGATGATGTAAAAAGCAAAGTTACAAGTGGAATTCCAACTCCAGGCCATCTGCCCCTTCCAAAAGTGGCTTCTTTTCCAGAGGCTATTCGAACCAGTTGAGTAAGATAGAAGGAATATGAAATGGACTCTTGAAGATGCTGCTGCTCTGAGTTTGTAGTGAAGTTCTTTTCGGTCCGTTTGAACTTTTTATTGGCCTTTTTTTTGCCAGGAGCCGTTGGAATGATTTTAGGCGTGGTGAGTTTTTTTACGCATTCAAGAAACCCTTCAAAGCAAAACTTGTCTTCAGCCAATTTGCTCGCTATGTTTGGTAAAAAAGTATGCTCTGAAGGCATTTCAAAATGCACAAGACGTCGAGCCTGGATCGATTGGCTAGTGGTGATCAAGCAAAATTTATCGCTCTCAATTGCGCGTTTAGTTCGGGATGCATGCTCATGCTCCTTCTGACGATGCTACATTGATGTAGATGATAGTTTACCTTAACAAAATATTCTATGGCGGTTTTAACTATTTCTAAACTGGATAAAGTTGTTTTACATGATTGGGACTTTGCCAGTTGTGTTTTAGAAAGGCCATAGTCATCAATGATGAACTGAAAATACATAAATACACAAAAAGATGGCAAAATTAAAATGCGCTGAAATTTATTCCACAACGTGGTCAATTGATTAATTGAAACTCTTTCACATTAAAAGTCTCCTCCAAAGCTTTGTTGCAAATTAAAATTTTATCATTAAAACTTTGTTGCAAATTAAAAGCGCTTGCAAATTAAAAGCGCTTGCAAATTAAAAGCTTGCTTGTAAAGTATAAAGTGATTTGCTACGTTTTAAAACCAATAGACTTTTTATTCGTTATTTTTGCATTTGCATTATCCAGATCTTTTCGATGGATGGTGCATTGGTGTGGGAGAAATGTCTGATGACAATTATCCTCTTTTTTGTTACTCTAATATTTACATTTCTACCTTGGGTTTTGAAGAGCTCTAACTCCCCAAAATGGCGCACTTCCGTGTTGTCGCTTTGCACTTGTCTCGCTGGTGGTGTGATAGTTGGTTCTCTATTTTTCCATTTGATTCCAGAAACGTTGATCAATGTCCATTCGGTAAGCATTGCACCTGCTCATGGAAAATCCAATCCAATCGCTCATGATTGCAGGTTGCATGACCATTCACTCGGATGCTCCCACCATCAAGGCGCTGAATCACATTCCCACTCAGTTCACGACCATGCTGATGATTGCTGCGAAGAGCCTTTTCAATGGGGTTCTTTAGTATTTGGCCTTTCATTTTTCGGGCTTTTAGCCATTGATAGGTTGCTCTTGGCTCATCGCAATTGTGCCGAGCCCTCTTCATCACCGATAAAGGAAAAATTAAAATCCAGTCCCAGCTCTGCGCATAAAGTTTGTTGCTCCTCAAAAAATGACAACCACAGCCACCATGCACCATCTTCAGTTCAAAGCCAGGCAGGTTTCGGCGAGCCATTGAAATCAACCCCAAATCAACCTTCCTCCTCTCAAGAGTGCCATAGTGTAAATGCCTTTGGAGGCTGTCATGTCGAGGGATTAGAACAAGGGTCCTCAAAAGTGCAGTCGTTATTTTTTGTTTTGGCCCTTTCAGTTCACTCCTTTGTTGAGGGCCTAGCCGTGCAATCGATATCAACGGCGCCTGCCATGTTTTCCTTTTGCATTTCACTTTTTTCGCACAAATGTTTGGAGGCTCTTGCCCTCGGCATTAGCGTGTATAAAGCCAAATTCTCCATCTCTCACTCGATCATTTTGGGATTTATTTACTCTTGCCTAACGCCACTTGGAATCCTGATTTCAATTGGACTGCAAGAGACCTCTATTTCCGGCCCTGTCCTTGCAGCGGTGGTAAATGGGCTTGCCGCCGGATCTTTTCTCTTTGTCGCCGTTATAGAAATGATAATCCCGGAACTGCACACCTATTCGTCATCTACGCCAGCAAAGTTTCTTGTCCTGATTTGCGGATTTCTCGGAATGGCTGCTGTATCCCTTTTTCCCCACGCACATACCCATTGATTTTTAAAGATAAATTAAACCGCTTCAAAATTTAACCGCCTGCCCTGAAATACCGTTCTTTTAGGTGCTTTTAATAATAATTTATGCCAGCGGAGTAGATGCAGCAAGCGAGGCAAATGTTAGATAACTTGTGTGCCCTTTAACTTCTGTAAATGGATATGATACAAGCGTTTGGCCTGCCTTTGTAATCTGATGTTCCTTCATTAAAACCTCAGCCATCCAGATATCTAAAGATGAAAGTCACTTGGCCGGCGCTAACCTGTAAAGTTTGATGACCTCAGTTCTGACACGGCCTTTTGGACCTGCTCAATGCAAGGGGAAAACGTACAAATTCGGCCGCCCTTGAAATTATCAACAAAAGAAACCTGTGGCGATAAAGTTTTTTTTGCGTGAACGATAGCAGACCAAGGATTGGGAAGATCAAGAAAAACAGCCGAAACAAGCCGATTTTGAGATCCAAATCCATTCACCGTTACGTCGACTTCTACAAAATAATAAGCCATCGCAGTTACCAGCGATAACATCGACCAGGTCGTGGCCCAGCCCATGGGATCTCAGCTCTTTGCAGGCGGCTTCTGCTCTTTCTTTATGGAATTCAAATGTATACAAATGCCCGTGAGGAGCAATAGCACGAAGAATGTGGTGCGAGAAAGAAGCGCTGCCAGTTCCTGAAATAAGCTATCAGCAACTACCACATTCAATCACTACGGATCCAGGCTTAAGACCAAGGGCCATTATGATAAAGGAGGCATCGGCGGCATATATGATTTGTGTACGATGGGAAAGAATGTTTGTCCATAGGTCTGCATTCGGCCGCAGTGCGTAGGCCGTGGTGCGTCCATTCGATGAACGCCACTAAGAGGTAATAGTCAACGGCAATGTGGTTACTTTGGAACCAAACGGCTTCCCAACAAGATCTACATGATTAAATAGCCCATAAACGGAATGCATATTTCCGGATTCCTCCAAAACTACAGGAATCATGATGGAAGGAGAAAGGTAGAAAACAACAAGGTCGCCAAATTGAATTACTTTCCCCACACTAAAGGACATCGGCAAAATTAATGTTTAAACATTGTGCTGTTTTTAAATTTAGAAATTCTCATGCCTTTAGAAGCATGGATCTATTTGCTCTCCCTCATTTTGGCGGCGCTTTTGCTGTTTGCAATGGTCTTTTTTGTAAGCGTTCTTTTTACAATGTAGATAATTTTATTTTCCGATTTGGAATGTGACTATGTAAACCCAATAGATCTTTGTACAAATTTGAATCAGTTCGTAATCCCGGAATACCTTATACATGCACTTTGCTCAATCTCGCTCTTCATGACCGGATCGATCTTTGCGTCTGCCTGGAACATTCCACTGCTCTCATTTCACGCATACAGAATCTATACTAGAACGGCCTTTTTCGATGCTACCGAAATCTTCCATCTCCTAAACCGCCATAAACGAGAATCCTTCATCAAGCTTGGATTCTATCTCTTTTCCTTCTTCTTATATTTGTACAAGCTTATAGCTTCTATCATTAAATAGATTCCCACAAAAATAGGAGGCTTATCTTTTAATAAAACAGCTAAATTTACAGCCTTATCTGACAAATCAGGGAACGGGGAGGAGGGTGTGATTTCACAAGTAGTTTCATCACATACCGATGAACGGGACATGATCCGTTTATTTGCATAATTGTCTTCTCCACAATCAAGGGATCGGAATTATTCGGCGGTATCCATCACAGTTATTTGGTGAAGCGCATTTGGGTGGTCGTTTTCGGATGATACGATTTCCTCGTCATCCCCTAGCCCGTCAGATAGCTCGTTGTCTGTTTGCGAAATATCCTCTTCGTCAGATCCTGAAATTTCATCATCGTCCCCGTTGTCGATACTGTTGTCACTCTCTTCTAAATCGCTGTCGGAATATTCAAAATTAGAAGGCTCTTTAATTGCAAGCAACTCCTCTGGGATTTCGAAAAGCTCGTTCCCAACGGCCTTTGATTGCGCAATTTTGGCGGCATCCCAAATAATATTAAACCTCGTCACTCGCGGCTTGTCTTCGATTATTTTTCTTCTTAGCAGGGAGATGTTGATGGGGGCATCATCTGGCATCACTTCCTTGAGAAATTCATCATTAAAGTCGGTATCCACGTAATACCCAATTCTGATAAACTCTTGCTCAACATAGGAGCAAGTGAGGAGCAATACAGTCACACCCCGTATCTCATGCTGTGGGATTAGTTCGGGACGCGGAGAATCCGTCTCAAACAGAAACCGATTAACACCAACGGGAACAGGGCCAACCATGATTGAATCGAGGACCTGATCATATTTTGCGCTTTCAGCGGACCCAACATAAATGAGCTTCCAATTCAAATCTAAATTAAAGTTTAAATCGGAGACAAAATATGGTAAAATAAAAGACATCAAATCAGCATGCTCATCAGATGTATGTACGCAGCATGAGAAGAGCAAATTACAACCTACCTTCGTCTAAAGGGCACAGGCATTCAAATGTGATTTCAAACCGAAGAGGATCGGTAAAAGCAGCCAAATTATTTAAAATTTTTACATTTAAAATATTAACAGATGCCATTCGTGTAGCTTGTTGATGTCCCTCAAACCAAAGGCAACCGTGATATCAATGCAAAAATAGGAGAAAATTAGCAATCTTCAAAAAATTAATTTAAAATTAATGCAAAGTGTTGATTGGACTAAACTTTCTCCTCTTTCGGACGACGAAATTGCCATCCACTTGGCAAAAATTGATGCAAAAATCACAAGCTCATCAGAACCACTTTCCCTGATAGCCCAAGTGCCGTTTGCGGAGCTTTTTTCGGAGTTACTCTCTGGAAGGTCTTCAAGTGCAACCAGAGCCATTCATTCTTTACTGTTCAGTATTTTTTCTCTTATCGATACGGAAGCCTTTATCACTGATCACAAGGTACCGGCGCCAAATTGATAGTAGACATACATTTGCACAGGAATATCCCTATTGCCTACTCATCGTGAGGCTCTTGAGCCGATCTTATCAAGGCTATTATGCGCAACGAAAGTATGAACGAATGGCCCATAATTAACGTTAGAACATTGACATTGTTAACGAGATGTTTTTATTGCTGGCCTCGCCGGCAATTTCCGTTTTTTGTTTCCTTAAGCAATGCATCTTGAAGGTTTTTGTAGGTTTTATAAAGTAGACCTTCAATTCGGGCGATTTTCTGCCCTATCTGCTATCAGAAGATAACAAGTTCCTCACTTATGCGTATCTTTCAACGTATGCGTTTAAATGGGTAACATTTAGGCTTCAAGATGTCAGTGTTTTATTGAGATATTTGGAGGTGTCCCTTGAGCTTTCTTCGGCTAAATATTCGATTTTCGTTACAGGACAGCTGCAATTTTCGGCACTGCTTAGTAATGCCATCGTATTGGCAAATGAAGACATCTTACTTTCTCTAAATATCATCGAGCTTTGCACGCAGGTACCGTTGTGTTATGTTATCCGGGGTTTCTTGGCTTAGTTTATTAATGTTTACCGGCCCTCTGAATTATCAGAAACGCTCGTTGACAATGTGTTTGCGTTGGCCAACCCACAAAAAGAGGCGTTCTCGCTATTGCTTCCTACACTTTTCAGCTTTATGTCAAATTATTGCGTCCTTTGCCAGAATGATAGGGTAGGGCATCCACATTGATGCATTCAATAGGGCAATCTATTGAGGCAACTAGACGAAAAGCACCATTTTATTGCTGTGATTTACAGGCAAGTGTATTCTGAGGATGTCAGCATTGTGGTAAGCATTTTGTCATTACATGACATATGAACAGAGTTCAGCTGTCATTGCTTTTGCCCCATTGCTTGGGTTGGAAATTACCAAAACCCTTGCCAACGATTTCATTGAATTTCTGCTGGATTACCACGGCAGGCAGCTTGCTGTCCAAATTGCTTGCCTAAATGCTATGATTCTGGTTTTAAAATCCACATATCCGCTCAATGACACCATATGCATTCGAATGTTGAAGGCCGTTTTCCCAAGGTGCTCCCATCCTGATTTGGAGGATGCAGCCTATAAAGTGATAGCACTGCTCCTTTCCAACCCTGTTGCTTTAAAGGTATTTTATGGGATGTCAAAATCTAGGCATCAATTGGCGAAGGCTACTGGGTTACCCTCTTGAGAAGAGAGACGGTCTCATACCACGCTCTGATTAACAGGTTTAAGCAATTTGTAACGGCCTTAGATATTCGATTGTTGAGATGATTTTGTCGAGCACAATTTTGGCAAGCGTTTTTGACGACGAATTAAGAGCAAAGCTAAGCGAGTACAAATCGAAGGGAATTGCCTACGCGCCAGCCACCGCACAAATTGCAATCGAATAAGATTGGGAATATTAAAAGCAAAATGTAAATAGTTTCCATTTGGATCTGTAAGATATCAGTAATCACGCACCAATGATCCTTTAATTCTTCTGAATGTTTAGCGAGGACAGCGAGTTTATCATCACACAACCACACCGTGAAAACGAGCATCTTGATGAGGATCTATATCCATACAACTCAGATGGCTCCGTAAATTTTAATGGCCATAAAAGGGGGGAAAGAGCGTCCATTATTTCAATTTTGCTAAAAAAACTTTTCCCCCCCGAAAATGGCCAAGTGGCATCTCTGTCCGATGAGGTTTTGGAATATAAAAAGCGCATAAGTCAGTCAAAACAAAAGCTTGAAACTTTCTTTGGCCTTCCCACACCAATAGATGTAAATATAATAGAAATAGAGGCTCACGGATTGAAGGCCCTGCTGCAAAGTAGGGTCCCCATGTGCTATTTTATGTACTCTATGCTGGAAGATTATTCTGTTGAAAACTTGGTAAGAAAGATTTTCGTCGTTATAAATCCAAGTTTTTTATCTTAGAAGTTGAGCAGTTCGAATGCACAGTATTTAACTCCACAAAGATGAAGAAAAGAGTAGCCATGGGCCTGTATACCACCTTTGTTAAAAATGGCGCAGATTTTGAAGTAAATTTGGATGAGAAAAACAAGACGGGCATCATAGAAAAGATCAGCAAGGGGGACCAATATTGCTTCTCTGGTGCAAAGGAGCATATTCTGAAACTAATCGAGCCGAAGGTCCAGCTTTTTAAAAACAGCTATGTTTTTGAGAAAATGAGGAAGGAACTAGGTAAAGGTCTAACCCCTCTGATGTAATTAGGATACACCAGCATTTACAAAAAATCGGCACGAAACGCGGCCGTCCGTATCTTGTTAAGGAATCTTGATGAAAATTTGCCCACAAAAAGCTCGTATACAAAAACCAGTAAAAAGGGCGGTAAAAAAAACAATGAAAATTCTGCTCACATTGAAGATATCAAGGGGTATTCCCAAAAAAGGAATCACAAGATCCGAGGCATGATTCATGCATTCTGCATTATTCGTCTGGGCGTTGATTTCATCGATAGGAACTACAGAGTATCTTCCGAGCTGGATAGATCCTCCTCAAACACCAGAAATAGATTCTCCACCAGAATTTCTCAGTTTGATCTAAATGAAAAAAGAGGAGTTATCGATTTGATTGATTTTGACGAGGACAACAACCAGGACCCGGATCCTTTTGAACTGTACCTGGAAACGTTGAAGACATAAACCGGCGCCCATTTAACGGCATTAAAAATAGAAGAATATCAATAAGCCGGTGTGTGTCAACGGATAACATCTCGAATTTAATGGGTACCACCGATCGCAGTTAAAAATATATAAATCCCCTGTCAAAATTGGTAATAACATAACTTGATTTCTCCAACAAGACTTTGATTCGATGCCTCGCTTTTTGGCTAGATGCATTGATCTAAACACCAGTGCTGGAGGCTAAATTAAACTTTATTCTCTTTGCCCCGCATCACTGATAATGTGTAGAGAAATGTTTGAATGGTTGCGTTGGCATGCTTGCTATTTGTGCATAAAATCGGCATCCATTTCCTCGGGTGCAAAGCCAATAGACGTTAGTGGCTCTTTTTCCATCAACTCGTTATTCATTCGACATTCAAGATATTTCCGTGTAACGGGTCGACATGGGAGGGATTGGCCTCTGTGTTGGGAGAGGCATTTTAAATATTGTGTCAGCAGTGGCTTGCAATCGCCATCATGGTCCAAGGGGAACGATCCCTTCAGTGGCGGGATTTTGTTTTCCGGTGTGGAGTTCGATATTATTGGCATCGTTGAATTAAATTTTTTCAAAAATGACACAAGAAACTGCCCGGTGTGGTTTATGTAAAAATGTCACCGATTGGATGAACTCTGTCAAGAAATCCACATTTGCCTTAAAGAAGCCAATAGGCATCTCAGAAAGTACCGGTAAGGATCTTCCAGATCAATATGAACCGTTCCCCTCGCCACCGGATGCCGATCGGCTTGGAAGAGAGACATGGACCTTTTTACATACCCTAGCGGCCTATTACCCCTCAAAGCCATCTTTGGACCACCAAATGAAAACACAGCAGTTCTTCTATCTACTTCCTTCGCTTTATCCATGCAACGTTTGTGCGGAACACTTGAAGGATGAGTTGCAAACAAACCCGCCCAAAGTGGACTCGAATGTCAACCTATCTAACTGGCTATGTGATATCCATAACGAAGTGAACGGGCGATTGGGAAAGCCTATTTTTGACTGCTCCAAAGTTCTGGAACGGTGGAAAATCGGCGTGAGAGATCTTCTTCGGCAAGAATCGCTAAAAGAATCATCTTTAAAAGAACCGGTCGAGCATTCACATATTTATTCTAGTAAACAATAGGAGGCCGAACTCTGATGCGTCTCTCTTCAACCTTTAAGTATAGCGATTTCCTCCTGTTCCGAAATAAAATCTTCTCAAAGATAAAATAGAGCAAAACAGAGATCGCAATCACTCCAAGAAGGAGAAGCAGCCAAGTAAACATATCGACCATCTCGCCTTCTTCGACCGGTGGAAAATAAAGAGTTGAGCCGTCCATAGGGTTAATGTCATTTGATTTGTTATAAAAGTAAGATAGATCATCATCTGAAATTGCAGAGAAATTGGTAACTGGTATTGCGTCGATCATAAAAAGTTTGCCTAATCATAAGCAGATTACGAAAATGGAAGACATTAAAATCTACAACAATGAAAAGTTTATTGCCAAAAAATAGCTACTTACCGCCATCAATGATAATGGACGAGGGAGTGGAGGATACCAGACCTTTGGGGAAAGAGGTATCCTCTTTCGTTCTAGAAAGCCATTTTAAAAGATATGGATCGTTTAGATCGTCATCAGCGTCCTGTCGTCCCCCGATCAAGAAAAATATGCTCAAAAATAATACAAAAGTAATGACATAGCCTACTGGCCACGGGTACAATCCAAGCGAAATGGGAAGATTACACACTAGTATTGAAATGATTCCAACCGGAACTGTATATCCCAGTTGCGTATAAACATGGTCATTATGATCTGAGCCGGAAGCAACGCTACTCATGATGCACGAATCGGCAATCGGCGAAGATTGATTACCCCAAACAGCCCCTCCAAGAATGGACGCGACCGTGGCTAAAAGACAAACGCTTTTAGACGGGTCAGATACTGGGTCGGCCGCCGTTTGAAGAGTATATGCCATTTGAACCATCAATGGGAATAGGATACTCATGGTCCCCCATGCACTTCCAGTGGCAAAGCTTACAGCTGAAGATGTAATAAAGACTATAGTTGGGAAAATGTATGCAGACAGAGACTTTCCCAATGAAGAAGATATCCACTCGGCAGCTTTAAGCTGACGACAAACATCACCCAGGCCCCATGCTAAGATCAAGATAATGACGGCGAACAGCATTGATTTCGCCCCATTTACCCAAGCGTTCATTGCCTCGGAAATGGAAAGAATTCTTTGGGAAACAACAAGAATAATAGCAGTAAAGGACGCCAGTAATGAGGCCCAAAGCAGACCGTTGAATGGAACGCTTGCTGATACCCAAGAAATGGGACCCCATGAATTGTCAATCTCGGTGATTTTACTAGCAATATGGCTCTCCAAAGAAGAAAAGTGGTTCAACCCAGCAAGGTATTTCTTTGAAAGAAGAACATCCCTATATCGAGAAATTGCGTAAGCGCCGTCTCCAAGCATAGAAAATACAACAACCGTAATGACGACGAGAAAAGGGATGGCGGCATTCCACCACAGTGAGCGAATCCCTTTTTTGGGGGTCAGAAAAGCATCTCCGCTGCTCTCAACATTATCTCCTCCCAAAGGGACACTGCCTGGTTTTACAAGCTGCCCTGTTCTATGAGCTCTCCGCTCTGCAGTAAGCATTGGCCCAAAATCTCTATTCAAAATTATCCCTAAAAGGCAAAAGCCCAACATTGAGATGGGATAAAAGTTATAAGGTAATGCACGGATAAAAGTACTATATCCGTCAGTTTCCATACCCAGCTGGGAAAACTCCTGGACAATGTAAGAGATTTCAATACAAATCCAGGATGAAATTATGGAGAGTGTCGAGATATTTGCAGCACAGGTGTCGGCAATAAAAGAGAGCTTTTCTCTTGAAATTTTCATAGTCCCCGTGATGTCTTTCATGGTTAGACCGCAAATCAAACAGGATGCGTAGTCGTCAAAGAAAATTAATATCCCAACCAAAAATGTTGCCAAGGAAGCCCTTCGCCTTGTTTTTGCAAACTTTGTGACCACCAGAGCAAGGCCATTTGCACCACCGCCAACACCAAGGACGCCGATCATGCCTCCAATAAACAAACAAAACAAGAGCACACAGGCATGATCCGGGGACGATATGCCCCTAATAAGCGTCGTGTCAAGGGTTCGAAAGAAGCCAATAAGAGGATTTCCATGATACAATAAAGTGGTTCCCACCCAGGCTCCAGCAAAGATTGCCAAGAGAGACTGCTTTAGTAAAATGGCAAGTATTATGGTGCAGATGCTAGGAAGTATTGATAGCCACGCTGGGATCGCAAAAGTATACCCATTATCTGAAAAAGTGTAGGAGCCAGATTCAAAACCAGAGGGATTTTCTTGAAAAGGAGATRTGGAAAGGGACAGCACCAGTTTAATACTCCCATATCTTGAGAGTGTCTTTAATGAAACATTATCAATTTTAGAGCAAAATGAATCCAAAGACGGGGTCTTTAAACCTGCATCTCGAACATCCGAAATGTCGAATGAAATTTTTTCTGCTTTTGTTGGGGAAGGGAGAATTCCAGATGAAATTAC